TTTATACTCGCGTCAGATTTGCAAACAGTTTTCGAAAGAAGCGTGCATTCGAGGCCACGACGTTGCTCCTTTCGACGGCCGGACACGCGCCATTGTGAAAACGACCGATAGGAACCGATGGCGGATCTAAGGGCACGCCACAATGACATAGTCGACAAGTATCAAATGGGAAAATCTGGATACACAGAAGCCGAATTTACGGTAATTTTCGATGCGATGGATCGAGGATGATAGGAGGAGAATAGCGAGTTTTTGTACAATTTCAAACGTCGCTTTGACGTGGTGTCGAATGTCTTTTATTCTGAAGAACGCAGCGCATTCATGCAGATGAGATTTCCTTCGGCGTCATGAAAATATCGAATAATCATTTAACTTAATTGCTTGGTAGTTGATAATTATCCCCCGGCTTGCAAAAAACCAACAAGTACCCACAAATTATGCAATTATAACAAAAAATATAAACGAGAGATTCATTAACTTCCTCTTCGATTAAAATTAGATTTTATCGTAATTCATAGAAATATTAATCTTATAGGTACATATAAAAATTTATCTTTACTTGGACTTTAATGTCTTCTATAAAAAAGTATACATTTTTCTTAATAAATTTATTAAATTAATATATTATTTTTACTTTAAATTATTATATATTTCCAATTTCTCATTTTTTTAAATTATCTTTAAAATTATCTTAAAAATTACGTGTTAGGATTTCTTATTGAAGAAGTCTTCTTTTTGAAAAATGTCTTGTTTTTAAATTTCAATAATTGAAATTCCTTCGTGTTTCTCTGCGTAACATAAAATTATACGTACCGTAACTTTTATTTTCTCTAAAAAAAAAATCGTTAGTCATCAGTGCTTCGGTTAAGTCGAAACGTTTAACAGGAACAGCTACCTGGCTTTATCCTGGAGACCTCTTAAAAGTATATGTCTGGAGATCACTGTCTTTCTTTATCTGGAAAATTAGCTAAAACTGGAGCTGAGTGCACCGGGAAAGCGAAGTCGAGACGAAACGGCCACGGAATAAACGCGTCGATCTAACACAGGTCGATCCCTCCGTCGAGATATTTATCGCGGTAAGTGGGATCCGGTTAAATGCAACTCGTGATCTGATTTCTGCGGGACCTAAAAGCTTTCCTCGCCCGTCTGACCGGCTCCACAAGGGTTGCGAGCCAGATTCGTAACGCAGATTTGGCGTCGAAAACGTATTGTCGAAAAAAAATTGTTCACGGGATATTCGCGCGCCCGAGAAAGCACGTGGGAATATATTGCCTCAATGCAACCTTTGAAACAAACATATTACTTTAATTAATTAAACCGATATCGACTTGCCGAGTCTCGATTTTCTCTTTTCTGTTTTATCCTCGAATTTAAAAATGACTGATTGTTTATGAAATGTTGTACCGACTTATATTGATAACAAATTCAGTCATTAATCTTTTTTAACTACTATGCGAGAGTAACAATAGAAATCACGGTTGCCACCTTTCTAATTGTTAGTGTTCCACTAGAGAATTCTTCTACCGGAGATCTCGCTATCCTGTCGGATATCGATTGCCACTATCAAAATTATTTCTGTCTCGCGTTCTTTAAAAGAAAGGTCACCAAATCTGACTCTTCGGCCGGAAATTTCTTTTCAAAATTGAAAGAAAATTGACGTATGCACCTAAAAAACCTCATCAAAATTTTTACGGTTTGCCGGAGATATTTTCCGTCAGCCGAAAAAACGGAAATTCGTCAAAAAAGTCGGAGTCTCCGGCCGAAAATTGAAGAGACAGCAACCGTTAGATTAAGACTTGACTAGAATAGGCTGAGAAATTATAATATGATTAATTATATTTGAAATTACACTATGATTTTGATTTTCAGAAGACACACATTTTGTTATAATAATGAGATAAAGAAAGGATTAGTTTTTCTTTTTTTTGTTTACTAAATATAAATAGAAAAGATACTGAATAAATATGTTTAGAACGAAAATTCATAGCGTGTTAAATCGACGCGTTACGAACTATAAAATTTGTGCTATAATTTCGTTAAAAATGAACAAGGTTTAAATTTAAAAAAGATGTTTTAAGTTTAAAATATTTTTTTTGGAAAAATACTATGTTTTTTAAGTTTCTCTATGAGTTGAATAATTCTTACATATATGTAAAAAACTACGAAACAAAAGAAACGGAAAATATTTTTCTTTGTGGGTTTGTCACATAAATGCTTAGTCAAAAAAAAATTATTGCGAAAATTTTCGATACAAAATCATTATTTAAGTGTTCCTACGATTTTTTATTACTGAGTTGGCGTGGATTAAATTTTTTCAAAAGTATGTAGACACGATACAAATAAAACAGCGCTATGCACTTTTGTTCCGACCTAAGAGATCTATCGAAGAATAGAGAAAGAAGAAAAGACAAAAAAAAAAAGAAAAAGAATCCTTGTTACTTAGATTGAAGTTTTTTATTTTTATTTTTTTTTATGTTTTTTTTTTTACATTTTGCAGATTATTCTTCCTTTCTGAAGCCCATGCGTGATCATAAACACGATCGTAAACGCGTGAATGATGAGCAAACGCAATATCGATACTGCCATCGTTGTGATTCATCCTCGCGCTGAGCGTTGGTTCTTTTTCGCGATCGGTGCAATGCATACATATACAATTCGATTACAATGGTGGCGCATTTTCGGCGACGTGGCTCGGCCGCGAGCGAGCACACGCACGCGGGGATCTTTTAGTCTTTTGTATAGCGGAAGAGAAACGCGCGAGCGCGAGCGCGAGCGCGAGCATTCTCTCCGCAACGTATAATTTGCCTCGATTTAGCCGGATCGATTTTGAGTAGCTACTGTTTCGCTACAGGCGGATATCTTTTGTGGCGCGGTTTTGTGGGCGTACACTTCCCCCCGGGCTAAAACGCCAAATGGTAACGACGATACGCGGAATCGAACGTGGAATGGGAAACGGGGATTCGTTTTGTGCGCACGGTTTTCGGCCGACGCGCCGTTCTCTCTCTCAAAAAAAAAAAAAAAAAAAAAAAAAGAAACAATTTCCAACGTGGATCCGCCATTCTGATAACCGGAAAACGTTCACTTCTCGTCTCTTTGTCGCGAAGCTAATTTTGGGAGTTTGCGGAAGGAAATAACGGTAAAACAGAAAAAAAATTCTGCTTCAAAACGCTATAAAATTGTTTTCACCAAAATAAATTCCCGTCTTATCGTACGAGCGATTTCGCGATAATATCGAGTGCATCCGCGAATTGGCTCAAGATAGCTTTGATAGCTAAATAAGCAATAACGACATTAAATTGTGAAATTGATAAAAATGCCATTAGCCCCGATAATAATCGCGAATCTACAGACATAATATTTGTTTTTAAACGAGAGAATTTATTTGAACTTGTGACATTTCTATGTGTCGAAATTGTATGCACATATGACGCTATATTATACATACACAATCATTAATGTAATGCATAATATTATGTAAATATACTAATACTTTGACTGCGGCCAATAAAATAAATGAGGCTCTATTTTAATGTATCGTACTAAATTTTAAATATTGTCCATGTAGGAATAATATTTTTGTTTGTTAATTCACCGCGGTAAACAGTTGTTTACAGAAATAAATACTTTGTTGTCGGAAAAGTCATTTCAAATGTGTTAAATCATTTCAGTTTCTCCGAAAGACCGCAAAAACTTTAAGTAAAGTCTCTGGATTCCCAATGTCACGGATAAACATTGATTTTCACGTGCCAACGTGAAAAGTTAAATTCATTAAATTTGCAATTTAATGAATTTACATCGATTTTAATTTTTATGAGGAGAAAGCGAGTTGCTATACCAGCCGAAACGACCGTGACGACGCAAGTAGGCGAATAGGTGAATCGCAGAGCAGACAAAAGCGCGGCGCGTAAGGTCCCGCGGATCCGCGGGGCATCCAGAAGCGTAGGAGGCTTGGCGTAAGCGGTAAGCTTTACCTCATTTCTGGCAATTACAGGGGATGCCAGAATCCGCCGCAAGAATCAACCCACTCCGGCCGCGTGTGTGTACCATCCACCTCTGTTTAGGTGAACCACCCCTTCGCGGTGCGCGTGTGCGCGCCAACTCGCTTGTCCTGTGTTCGTCCCTTACACGTATATTTACTCGTACAGACGCAGGTACAGGGTGGGCGCACACAACAGCGTACTCTCGTGACGTTCACACGTACACCCTTAGTGGGGACGAGACGCGGCGCGGCGGCGGCGCGGCGTACGGCGTCATAGGAACCCGTCTACCCTCCTCAACCCCACTGCGGCTACCCCCATCCAGGAGAGAGGGTTACCTCTGGTCGCAAACCCGGCGAACGGCGTCGCCGATTCGTCGAGCCAAGCCACGCCTCCACGCGGCTCATGCCCGGACCACCTCTTTCACCGGCGAGTAGTCCTCGGTTCGGGAGTAGTCGTATACAGCTGCAACAAAGGCCACCCTGGTAGACGGCCGGCTAGTCCTCGTTGACACGACGCACGCTCAAGAGCTTCGACCTTAACGGGAAAGATTATACCTAGCCATCTGCATCTGCTGCGCCTGCGAAAGTTAATGAGCGAGGACCAAGGACGTTCTATCAAGAAATTAGGGAATACCTGTTTCCTCCTGTAAACAGTTTCATTTTTCCTGAGATAAGTAGGCGATCACGGTGGATGCGGACCATTCAAGAAATCATTAAAAGACTCGGATCTTGGACGACAATGTGGTGTTAGTAAACAATAGCGAAATATTCCACCTTTGAAAACTGACCGATCCTGGTGATAAACGCTTGGGAAAATTTAGATGAAAGAACTGTCTCTTATCGTTATCTGAATGATTATTAGAAGAGACGGATCAGTTCTGTGTTGACAGAAAATGTTGATAAAAGTGCCATGATCTGTATCATGACTTGTGAAGAGGTGACGTGTGTCTACGAAAATTCATTACGAAATTTAATTCCGTATTTTTAATAGGTTTCGTTCAATTTTGCGAGAAAGACCAAACATTAGGGTGAATACATCTAGGATTGAATTTGATTCCGCGATTGTTCAAGCCAATGACATGATCTTGTTAATCGATTGACACAGGCTAAACATTCTGGCACGACTAGAAAATTTTTAGATCTATAAAGAATTTATAAATCGGATATTTGACGATTATCCTGAGACTGACTACTCAAGTAGTGCGTGATGTTGTCCGAAATGCGCTCCGTAGTGAGGGACACGTGTGCCAAAGAGTTTTGTCGTGCGATCGTCGAGCTTTAGTGCATCCGCAGAGTCACTCACGAAATCTTTAACCGACGGGGGTGGTGATCCCGACTCGAAGCAATCCCCGGGGAGGTTCTGCTGAGCGAGTTTCCAACAATGGATTCCCAGCAGCTCGTTGACACGGCTTCGCAGAATAGTCAAGACATCGTTTTACCAAAACCGGCCAGCAGTACACCGCGACACAGCATCGACGCGATCCTCGGATTGGCCAGCCATAAAAGGACTCATCAGGAAATGGAGGACACTAGTCGCGACACGCAGGAAAATACCGGTACCTATTTACTTCTGTAATCTTAGGTCTGCTTTTTATTTCTGCTCTAGACCGCACTAGAATTCTTTCACTTTTGCCAAATATCAACCATGCCTGTTTCACTTTAAGTTTCAAAAGTGTATTCAATTATAGAAAACAGACCTCTTGTTATATAACATTAATAATATATGTAATATATTACTAATGCTGTATAACAAGAATCGAAGTTGAAGATCTGCTTTAAATGTTTATTTCTCACCTTTAAAATTAAAAAAAAATATTTGACAATAGCTTTTAAAATAGCAGCTTTTTCTTTTAGCATTCTGACATTTAATATTTTATAATTTCGCGAAGAATTTGACATACATTCATTAAACTAAAGTATTGATATATTATATTAGAAATGTCTTTGATTTGTCAAAATTTAAGATAACATGATTAATACAATGTTGTATACATATATCCGTGATGTGCTTAGATCTCTCAGCTAATTTAATACAAACATGCTTTTTTCTTGGCCATTTCTCTGCCAAAATTCTTATACTAACGCAACGCAAATCTGCAAATGATTTTGTCGCTTTCTCGAGCCGTCGGATTGATTCACGCAAAAGTTACTCCTCAACTTCTTGAGCTTTCCTCTTCCTGAGACATGTTTTTAAAGTACTGATTTCTAATTACACAAAATATCTAATTACAAAACGCTACTGAAATCCGTTACAAATTTTTCGAAATACATTAATAATGCAGGTTCAATCGTCCATCTCATCCAATTATTTTGATATTGTCTATAATTTTATTAATCGCCATCACATCATTAATTCATCACCTATTCATTATCCTATCCAGCTATTAATTAAAAATTTATTATACAGTTTAGAATCCGTTTATTAATTATTAATTAAATCGTCAGTTTTTAATTTCTTTTAAATATACAGATCTCTGAAAAATTATTTAATTTTGGACACGTTTGAGAATTAATGCTTGAAAGTAATGTTTGGTCGAGAGTATATTCGAATATAAACTTGTGGCATCACTGCCCCAAAACGAAAAATCAATAGCGCGTTAATAGCGTAATTGCTAGAAAACCTAACTGAATTTCGACCGACGGCCGCGTGTAGTTTTCCACGAGGTCTGATTATTTTTTTCGTATTTACGGACTAATTCGATTAGCAGACTAAACCATTCCGCTGTCCGTCCGTTGAATCTTGCATCCTGCCTGACAGACACGATCAAGCGCCGCGAGTCCGCTTTGCGAGTCCTGTCTGGCAGCTGCGTTACGACCAGTTAATGTGGTTTGATCGAGTTTCGATTAATTATCGCCGGGATTGCGTTTGATCGATATATACATGTCCTTTATATTTCGAGAACAAAATTTAAGAAAAATAATTGAGAAGAGTACAATGGAATTGAGAGAGTAATTTGAACATTCAAATACGTGGTGCGATGCAATAATTGTTCAATGATGAAATTAACAGCAATTATCAATTTGTCACAAAGCAATTTTTTTACATTCCGAGGAATAAATTTAAGAAAAATAATTGAGAAGAGCGTAATATAGAACGAAGCCAATGATTTGGACGTTCAAATATGCAACGCGATGCAATAATTATTCAATAATGAAATTAACAGCGATTATCAATTTGTTACAAAGTAATGAAAATTATATAATTACTAAAATATTATTGCAAAACGGCAGTTAATCTTAATATTGAAAAATCATTGTGCCGTTTCATTTAACTAAGCGCATACGTGCTACATTTTATCTCTCATGCACAATGTGTATAAAACTAAAAGAGTTTTCCATTAGAAAGTTTTAACAGTTCTTTTTTTTATGAAATTAAAATGTGTTCATCAAGTGGCTTTCTAACAAGAATTAAAAAGAAATATTTATAACTACACGTTCATTTTATCGAGGCAAGATTATAACATTGCACTTACATACGTATACTTTGCGATTGACGAAAGTTGTAACCCAATGAAATAACGTGTAATGGCATAGATAGGTATGTGTAGATCTAGATAATAATTACGTTGCGTGATTTTCTACCGTACTGATAAAATCAATTTACCGCATACTACTTCTTCACCTTCTCACGAGACATTTATGAGCCGCATTATTTAATTTACGCCGTATTTACCGCAACCGCGGTAAAGATTTATTCTAACAACGCAGCAACTTTATTTTTATCACATCGAAATAATTAACGTCTATATCATTTTCTCATATGACCATGATCCATATGTCGATGATTAATGTTTCTGAAGACTTATAGCAGTTACAATATACGTATATTAATCATCGCGATATATGATTAATAATTTGAATCTGATGCATAAGTAGAGAAATCTTATGTAAGTATTTTATTCATTATTCTATTTACTGATATAATCCTGTTTTACAGAAAGAGAAAAAGAAGAAAAGAAAGACAAGACGCGTATCTTTTATTAAATTGTAAAATTATAAAATGTTTATTACAAAATTAAAAAGCGTTAACATGATTATAAATTATACATCAATTATTAAAAGTAGATATGATTAACTAGATATGATTATCTTTCAATAGAAGATTTTCTTAGATTCTCTCTCTCCTTCCCCTCCCCCCCCTCTCTCTCTCTCTCTCTCTAAATGACATAATATAAATAGAGAGCTCGAATAAATTTAGAATTACATAAACTATAATTATCTTCGTTTTATTTAAATATATGTATAAAACTTAGAAGGTTGCGAATAATACATTGTCTAAAGCCTCAATCGTTGAAAGAATGTACACAAGATCTTGGCCTGAATTTCCTGCGAGGAACCAATCTTACACTCCTGTCGTGGGAAGCATCGATGTCTCGGTAGCATTAGCGTATAATCGTTGAAATGAAAAATCGTTAGTATATCACGACGTCGATCTCCATCTCCAAATTTCTCCAAACTAGACGGACATGCTAATTCAGCGTCAAAACTGACCGACCGACCGACCGACCGACCGATCGACCAGGACGGTCGGTTATAGGTTGGAGCGTGCTCTCGCTCGATGAAACATATATCCGATAATTCCTGTTTCGAGACACTTTCGTCTCGGGTCGCCTACGCTGCCCGCGAACTGTCGTTCGTGTCATTCTGAAAGTGCGCGCACACACAACGGGGGCGAGAGCGCGAGTTATCGACGCAACACTTTCGGCGGAAGGGTCGGAATCGACAAAACAATTTTGTGCCGGCGCTACCATTATTGGTACGGTACACGGACGAAAAAAATGGGCAAACAGCTATCGGATATTATCGCCGTAAGTGATATAAATTAGCCGGAGCACACATTCGCATTTCCGCAGCCAAGAGCGCGCGAATCGATATTGTTGCGCTTAATTTTCAACGAAGCGTTATATTGTTTCTCGCAATAACAATAGCTTCCATTCTAACTAACAATGGCATAAATATCATAGCGTGAGTATTGAAACGCTTATCACGTGTCAATCGATTGGCAATTATTCGTTTATATGAGCTTACTTAAAAAAATTTCGAAATGTTAAAAAATATAGAGTACGTATTGCTGTGACGTTTACAACTAACTCGTCCATTTTTACACTCCAGGCTTCTAAAATGAACAAAACTATAACTATGAAATAATTTTTTAAACGTATAACTTCAGTTTATTTATGATTAATACACTGAGAAAAATGTGTTTTAGTGACTATTGCATGATAAAATAATTATGAAACTTCATTTTTATAATGCTACAACATTTATATTGCTGCTATAATGTTAGTAATGATATAATTACATTTAGTAATTACATTATATTATAGTGATAATAATATTTCTACTCTTTTACCAAAAAATATATAGTCAAAAATGGCTATAAATTGTAATTAATTAATTAGTAACTGTAACCTTTTTTTCTCTCAGTGTAAGATCGATCAAAAAGATGTTACGTGTAAAAGAATTCATATTATTCGCGATAAATGTATCTTAAATAATTGCATTAAAAATGTATTTCGATAAAATTAGATTAATTCTTTAATTTTACAAAATATATATGCATAATGAGGATAGTTTGGTAAACACAGTAATGCAGCGTTGATCAATAAAAACTTTATTGGCTTCGTTTTTCAGGACACTATTTCTATTTAGAAAACGATTTTCATTACATTTTATAAATCAAATAACTCGTAATCTTATCGGAAGTGGAAACGTCGATAAAAGAAATTACGTCGAAAATTGGAAAATAAAGGCATACAAAATAAAGTCATTCTTATCTGATTCCAAACTATAACAAGCCTGAATAAGCCTGTCAAGCTTAATATGTCTGACGTAGGATTAATTGTCGACGTTTATACCCGGGGATTTACGTTGATCATTTTCGATGGAAATTATGGAGATGCCAGGTGGACCAACCGTAAGAGAGAAATGTGCTAAGAAAACGGGGGCTGCTTAGCCGAGACCCAATCTTGTCCCGCTAATCGAATTATCATTAATTATGATACCGTACGCGCGGAAAGAAAGAAGAGGTAAAAGGCGAGCGAGGGGCCAGCCGCCACTAATAAGTATGGAGGAAGAGCG